ACAGGGCAATGCATTCATGTGCAGGATTGGCTTCCGTCCATTGGTAATTCAATCCTCAGGTTCCAAGTCAAAGACATCCCATAAGCTATAGGTTATCCGACAGACTTAAGTCCCAATACTCTGCCGCCTATAGCTCACCCGCAAAAATGCAGCAACGACAGTTGCCCGGTCGAGTCTAGCCAAGCGCTGTAAGAAGCCCCCCTAAGTCCTCAGTTCGCGCTGACTGTACAATCAACGCCCATCTGCCCTCTCTGGCGTGGAAAACAACGATGTAAGTCATGTCTTGTGCGGGTCTGAACCTATGGGCAGCAGATGTCTGTGCGATTGATGTTCCAAAATTTCGGCGCCCAATGGATATCTGATACTGTTGAAGGTAGCAGTCGCGATCAAACCCGCAACAGGATTGTTATACATTGCCCCTTTCTTTTTGGCAAAGGTGTCTGTAAAGAGCCCTTGAAGTCATTAAGGGTCGCCTTGCTGGCCCCATGTATCGTCAAAGATTGAGTTGCCCGTCTTGGCAGTGTTGGTTGAGATGTTGATGATTCTGCCTTCCTTCGGATTGAATAGGGCAGGAGCATGGTAGTAAGAGAGGCTGACGCGCAGACGTGAGCCCGTATCACCTGCAAGAAGTCTCCACGTGTCATTCTTTTTTAAATGAATTTGCCGTGCTTGGGCCTCGCGAAACGGTATCATGGATAAGAGTGTCGATTGACGTTTTGCTAGGGTCTTGAAGAGCGTGTGTCAAGACCTTAAGGCCAAACCTGGGATCGAGCAAGTATTCTTGTATTGCAGTTACGTACGCCATGCGAAGCTTTCTGCAGTCGTCAATGATGAGCTGTGGCCGATCGCGGCTCGTACCACGAGTGACAGCTATCTTGCTAAAACCTTTGTGCACGCAGTAGGGAGGGATATCCCGCCAATACCACGTGATGCCCTTGTGACGACGGCTGTTTTCCCCGTGAGCGACCATAGCTGACTGGAAATGGGTGGCTGAGCCATATTGTTGGGCTTCGAATTCTATATTGCTAGAAATGAAGGCTAATACTGAAATGAATCGTGCAATATACAAGCATCACTATCCCTCTTACAGAGCAACGGATAGTTACAAATCGCCCGAAGGTCTGGCAGCAGGGAGCACGGGCGAGCTTGATCGCGGACATCTCCACCTGCATCACGGACTTTGCGCGTCGATCATTACATTTAAATTATTGAAGCATGAGGTTGACTGGTGTGGTGTTTGTCATCGGAGGTGGGCATTGAGATATCTGCACGACATTCAATTCCCCTGCTCAAAATGCCATTGAGTCGCATAGCGCTTGATAGTCTGTCTATTGGTGGCATCAAAGTTGTGAAAAGGCGTAGGATTTCAGTGGACATCTGATGACCAAACCCTCTTGCGATTTCGCTCTTGATGCTGCACGTAGGAGGGTCGCATGTATAAATAAGGAGTGAATATATAGCAAATCACAACACCTACGTCAAACTGAACTCTATGGTTGATATTGTTCTTCGCGCGCCACCTCGTCGTCATGATATATATGGTAGGATACGTGGTGCTGCGGAATTTCACACCTGATGATTTTACGCGCTCAATAATTATAGGGCCACAATGGGAAGGTATCAAGAAACAACAGTCTACGCTGTGCGCCGGTTCTAACATATAGATCAAAACTCATCACCACAAAGTTTTCATGCTAGTCCCCCCATGTTAAAAAGGCCCCGAGCAGTGCACACCCTAAGCGCATCATACACGGCCTGGCTCTCTGTCCGCCTAGCATGATCATCCTCTAAATTATCCTGTGCTTGCAAAATCTCAGACTTTGAGCGATCGAGCTTTTCAACCCGCGCTTGGCAGGCGTGCAACGCGGCGTCGGCCGCCTTACAATCATCCGTGGCT